GTTGTGAAAAACGTACAAAAAACCTCCCAGACAAGTCGTAGGAATGTTACACAAATGAAGTGATTTTCAACAGACTGGTGAATATAGGACAAATATACAAATCGTAGGTATCATTACCAAGTTTTGACTTGATAATTTCGAATAAATTGAGCATTGGGTAGACTGTTATAAATAAAGTAATATATTTGTAATATCCTAATGAGTAGAAAAATTAGATTTTCTGATATTTCATAACTCGGTGGAAGCCACTTCTTCAGAGAAGAAATACCCAAATCACAATTAATCCAAGTTTAAATATTACAAAGGTACAACACAAGAATATTATATACGATCAATCAAAAGACAGGTCTGAATAAGTCAATATCATGTCATTTCGGTCAAGGTGATTTATAAGCAACATGTATGTAAATTTGTGTATGCATGTGTGCAAGGTCAGGGATGAAAAAATGTGACCTTTGTGGTGAAAAAGGATAGAGTTTAATTTGCATTTACGATAATAGTGTGAAATATGAATAATATCAGACGTAGTAGATTGGATAAATAGTCCAAGTCGGATGTATAGTGAGGCCTTCTTTTCTATTGAGAGCAGTCAGGTTAAGCATTATATGGAAAGATTCATCTACTCTCCTTTTTATGTAGTTTGAAAAACCTTTTTGTAATATTTTGATGTTTTTGAAATCGATTTAGTGGTTGTTGAAAATAACATCAACTGCTATTGCCGATTTAATTTTTGAAGTCTATCCAGTTCTACGGGATTATTAGGTGGTTTCTTTGTGTACCTATTATTTTCTTTGGCTCGAGTCAAGATTTCGCGAGATGACTCCCCAATATAGAAGGCATCATGATCGACACATCCTAATTTGTACTTACAGTTCTGTGTTCACATAAAGGGGAGTTTATTTTTTAAGCGAACTAAAGTATTTCGAAGTTTGTTCATTGTTTTGTAATATACTTTAATTCTGTTTTGTTTTAAAATTCTTTTGAGTTCTGTTGTACCATGGCGGTATGGTAAAACTGCAGTACCAATCCATGGTATTTCATTTGAGTTATTATTTAGCAGTCAAAAAATTTAATTTTTCTAATCATTAGAATATTACAAATATATTATTTTATTTATAAATATACAAATCATTTAGATACAAAAGAACCGTCACTGAGGATTGGATGATTCATTTAATAAAATACACATACATACAATGGGATAAATTACATATTCGGCTAAAGTTTTATTTGATCACTCATGGAAAACGTGATACTGCTCTACTTCTCTATATGATCAATTAATTGTGAATAAAGTTGTCTGTTGTTTCATTAAAACTTTCAGAATCTAACACCAATTAACTTTCATACAACAGTAAATTGTCAGTCTGACAACACCCACGTTTCAAGCTTAATTTTGACATAGCTCACCATTAAGAACTGTCAATTCTTAAGTAGTCTGGAACTGTTTTTTTTTCTACATCATTTGATCAATTTGTTCGAAAAAAAATTTGCATTATATATTCATAATCAATATACTATTGACTTGTTTTATCATTACACTGTAGGCAACTATTACAGCATTCCCATATTTTCATTGACTGTTTAAATGATTTCATATGTGACGAATTTCATCTCCTTGTACAAATTGTAAGGTCGTGTATTTGTTAACCTTGAAATCAAAAATGACAGTTGAACAGAAACTTTTTTAAAATTTTTTTTTATTTTAGATAACGTGATCACAGTTATATTTAAATTTTAAGAGAATGTGTGAACTTATGGTAATATAGTTCTAGAATACATAATTACAGCATCAGCCTAATGTTATATGTGTATGCATATATTTAAGTGGTCGGTATAGTACCAGTGATGTTCATTAATAAAATAATTTATGTTGAATAGACATATACTGTCTTACTACTGATAAACTTAAAGTTCACAATTTTAGACTGTCTTAATTCTTGAGTTCTCTGCAAGTGTTGGTTGCGTTTAATTAAAAGTGTCTGATAGTCACTTGTCGAAGTTTGACAGTCCTCTTTTTTTCGATTTTCTAGTGTTTAATTTTAGGCTATTGACAATAACCACATTCAAATATGACATTATTATTGTTAACTATCAGTTACAGGTGTTTGTACGTGTTATCGATCCCTACTTTATATATGAACGCTAATATTACTGTGGTGTATGCTACTTATGTTGACAGATGTAAGTAATGTGTAACACTAATCCGAATACATGCCAGCAGATGATTGTATTGACGAGAAAAAGAAAGGGAATCATAGAGCAATTGTAATAAAAACAAAATTAAAAGAACCGTGGATCATGTACAGGACAACTGAAGGAAGGTGTGCAAATAATATACTTAATGTATGGTTTTTATTATTTTAGGAAAACATTGTAATTTTGCACTAAATCAAATCTTCGTTTACTACAGTGCTACTCGGTTTTCCAAAGTAAAACAACTTGGTGCGGGATTCAGACCATGGAGTCACCGCTCCACTCAAAATACGCTAAACATGTTTCATTTTTATCAAGAGTAATGAAAATTTTAATAAAATGATCACTCGTATCATAAACAATTGTGGTCAATTGGTGTAAAAGCGTTAGTTTTTTCAATTATCTTGTGATATAAATAAATCCTGTACTGTAAACCTTCTGTATATATCCTAATTGTTGTTCATAAATATTTACTTCAAGTGTATGTACATTGTATGATTTATTGTGTACACTGTCCCATATATACAGTAATATTAATTTTAATATATAAACTATTGACGTATATTCTATTCAACGGTAATTTTGTTGTTTATTTACCTTTATGGTTTATATTTTAAAAGTTATTCGATCTAACACTTTTTCATTATTAAATAATGGTATTATAATTTTGTGTATAAATTCAGATTATGATTGTGTATGGTGATGTAATCGACCCGAATAGTTTGTTAAGATTTGAACAAATTCATCTTTCTGTTCTGTAACTATTTAGTTAGTGCAATGAATTTTTCGTTTTATTTTTTCCTATTCATTCAAATAGAAAAAAAGTTAATGTACCCTTTCTTTGTGCAAAATTTAAATAATTTTTATTTAGTTTTTCGGTCATTTATATTTTTTTAAAAAACTGATTTCTGGATAATAGTTAAAATCTGTCTTATTTATATGCTTAGTCATTATGACATTCAGCTATTTGATAACAAGGTTCTATAATCACTTCTGTTGTTACATGTTAATATTTGGTCATGTACACAAAAAACGTTAATGTGTACCACAACTGTACATGTGCATATTCAGGAACAATTTTATTCAGATTTCATTTTATATAAAAAAAATTAATACCACTACTATTAATCTCTGTTTACTTTCTTGATGATCGTGGTAAAACTGATTTCAACATTCTTTTCTTTAATTCGTGGATTATGTAATCGACAGTAATATTATTGACAGAAAACCGATTCTTATTATCACAACTGTGCATTATTGTGAGGTGTATGTAAATATTGATAAATACTGAACCATATATGTGTTTTAATCCAAATAAATTTACACATTGTTTCATATACATATACATATAATTATTATTTTCAACGTTGTTATTTTTTAATTACATTGTTCAAATACTGCTAAGGCAATCTCAAGAATAAGTAGATTTTATTAGAAGGGCTAGGATCTCTTCTGGAATGATAACCCCTCGCATACTTTTTACCAACTTGATTTTCTGCATGACTTCTGCCTTCTGATTGGTTGTTATTTTTTTTTACTTCACTAAATTGGTACATGCTCGAAGGTGATATCCTCCTACTATAGTAACAAATTTTCTACCCATTTCGTCTGAGTTACTTGTTCTACCACAAATATCATGTTACCTGCTATTGCGTCTTCTTGTCCCAACCGTCGAGGTTTGGTGTGTTCAGTATAATTGACTGTTGTCAGTTCCGAAGAGGATCGATTGTATTACAGAAGTTCAATCGTTTTCGTTCCTTAATCCGTAACAAGACATAACAAATACTGGTTACTCAATATTATTATAGTGTAATAATTTGTATGTCGAATAGTTTTCAACAGAAATGTTGGTTTTATGCTTGATGTTAAACTGAGTTATGTTACTAGTTTCTTCAAAAGATAAATACATTTTACACCTAATTATTTTAATGCATTCACATTCTAGTCATTGTTTTCAATGTAACCTTGGGAAATATAAGGAAAATAATAAATTTCTAATATAAATCTATCTTTCACTCTTTCACTTATATTTGGTTACACATTTCTTCTTTTAGATATTTTTTCGTTGTCATTGTTATGTCGAAACTGTTTGTATCTCTCTGGATTATTTTGACCGATCAATTAATTTGACTAAAGTATTTTACAGTCACTAAATCAGTTAATTGAATTCTGTTCATCCTTTGATTGATTCAATCTTATTGTGTTCGTAATATTCTTCTTTAGCCTAATAATAGTTAATATGATTGTACTATCATCGATGAAGCTTTTCACGAAAGCTAGATTAATTTTGGCATGGTAGTTGTTGAGATAGTTTCAAAAAGCACGACGAAATTTCCAAAGGCTATAAAAGAACCCAAGAGATCCCGTCCAATCATTATTCAATTGAGCGTTTTGTAATATCAATTTTGCATGCTACTATTGGACAATTTCATAATTTGCCTCGTTGCGGATTGGCTTAATTATAGTGATGGTATAGTCAATACTAATGACTATATATACCCATGTTTTCCCGTACATTTTTTATTCTTACCCAACAATCATCTCCCATATTTTTTGCGTCTTTTGATTTGCAACTTTAAGGTTCTACATGTTCGAGTGCCGCTGTTTCTGTGTCATATTCTGTCGTAGCTCAGTAGAAGACGTAACAGTGGTTGTTGTTATATATGGTGTGGATAAGTAATGTGAATTACTGGACTAAAGCCACTGAATTTTAAGAAAAATTAGTCCAGAGTGTTTTTTTCTTACGTGAACTATTGTTGTATCATCTGTTATCTGTTTTTTCTCGCTCCGTTATTTAACTATAGGCTTATTCTACTGTTGGAACACCGGATTATATTGCACCTGAAGTATTTCAGCATCATGGTTATACAAATTCTTGTGATTGGTGGTCACTTGGTGTTATTATGTATGAAATGCTGATAGGTAAGTAAACAGTTCCGATTTTTGCTTCAATTATTGTTATATACATTGAAAAGTATTATTTTTATTCACGATACTTTACATAATGTTTCAATTTTTAGGGCGAACTAACGAATTCAAGTTGATGCCATAAGACTAAAAATATCCTAAATCCAATGTATTTTGGGGTCGTGATTGGTCATACTGTTGAAGACGTCTATATTAGATATTTAGTGTTCCTTAACTAATATTGTTCCCTTACGGAATCGATCATCATACTGGACAGTCTTCGTTAACCTCTCATTAATTACTTACTTCTGCTACCCATCGTGAATAAGCATAGGCTTCCCACCATAATTCCTCATTAAAACTCTATCCTTGGCAATCCTTTCCAGTTGTTACCGGTTGCTATTCATTCTTTTGATATATGCTTCCAATTCCCAACTCAATATGTTGCTTGGTCTTTTCGTTTTCTCTTCAGGATAGTAACCAAATATTTAGATAAGTGGCAAGAAGCGACAATAGTATATCAATTATGGGTAGTTTGTTCTGTCAGTTATATTTTTTAAAATAGTCAAAATTCTATCGAATCCATTTTTATGGTACGATATGTAAGAGTATAGTTAACATTAAGATTTAATTAAAAAATACATTCGTATTTATTTGTTTAAATTTAATCCCAATTAAATTTGATGTTACCTTGACAATAATGAATTTTAACAGCATGATTTTCAACTCGAAACAAAAATACACTGACAACAACTTTAATTAGACATAAAGACAGCGTGTTTGTATATATATATATATATATATGTTTATCTTGATTGACTATTACAAACAGCACTACCATTATGCATTGCTTGATTTGTAAATAACGTCGACTTTTCGTTTCATGAGCATATTGTATACAGTTGATCTATGAATAATTAATTATTCATTCCATTTGATAATATGTGAATGTTAATTTTTCTTTTATTGATTCTTATTATGCATAAACCTAGTGATTATTAAATAATGTCTGTCTTGATTTTCGTATGTTACTCATCAAAGAAATTTAGTCATGACCTCATCTCCCTACGTAGTCATAACTAATATTAATGTTCACAAAATCACTTAATCTATAGGCATATTATTATTATTATTATTTGAACACATTAATATTGGTACAAATGGGCACCCAATACATATGCGCCACACAAGTCATTTGGTTTTTGTGTGGGTTGTGATACTGTCCGGGCGCCCAAACCGAAGCATATTAGTTGCTAGCTTTGAAATAGACTTTTTAAAGTGCATAAAAACCTATGGAGAGAGTTACTCATATTAGGGATGTGCGATAGTTGCTTATTGTTCATAAATTGTATTAAAGATCATATTTACTATTTTCTTTTTCATTGGACTGGTCAGAAATACTGAACTTTCAGTTCCAATGTGAACTATATTCATAGTTGGTTGTAGTCATTGGATTAAATTATATTACAAAAAGTTCTACAAAATTGAATTGGTAACAAGATGATTCTATGATAAGAGATAATTATTCACAAAATACTTCCCACTGTATAACTAATTATCTTACCATATACCATCATATGTGAAACCCCTTTATTAGAGACTCATTTTATGTTTAAATGTATTCAATTTCTTGAAATAATTCATTTATATTACTTCGTAATGTTTAAGTTAATTCACAAGTATAATATGTAGATGATTGATGTAAGACGAAAATAATACTAATTTGGAATACTGACAACTGTATCATTTGTGATAGATCAGTTCAGAATGGTACTTGAATAAACCTCCAATATTTGTTACTTTTATAAACTTATTATTATTATCAGCATTATTGTTTGCATTTTGTTATTCTCTTTTCACTTAATTAATAGTTACTTGTCAGTATAGGGTTGTGCTGATTGTTGAGTTTTAATTAAGATCATGAACTGATCAATGCAGATCACCAGTGAAAAGCTTAAAGCACTGAATCTCAACTAAAACTGAACAGTTTTCACAACCCTATACTAATAATCATCATGTGCTCACTAATAACTAGCTTCCAGAGGTAATTCTTGGAGTTCTAGTGAGAAGCTGTGACCAGTGGATTTAAACTGTGTCTGATGTGAGGCAATTACTCATCAAAGACATTGGAGGGTGGTCGCTCAATATCGTGGATTGGTTGAAATTATACATTAACACCGTTGGATGCCGGCTCAGTGGTCTATTTATTTATTTATTTGAACGAATAGACATTGGTACAAAAAAGCACCAAATACATATGCGCCACACAATAACAATGAGGCTAGTAGCAGTTATGACTGTTTTGCTTAAGAGTTTGGATACTTTTTGGGTATCAAACCGAAGCAGGTGGTTTTCTTAGAGGGCCACGCCTGGAGCCTTCGACCTAAAGGTCAGACCCACAAGGCAGTGGAGCAAAGTTAGGAGTTGCAGCCCCCACGGTAGCCGGTGACCAACGATTAGTTCATACACCACTTGTTTCTTCAGGATCCTGGAGCCCATGTGCAACATTAGTTTGGAATCATGATTTTCCAACTCCCCTAGATGGATTCTACATATCCACCAACCAGGTTAAGGCGCTGGACATTCGCTTTTCGTCCTCCCAATTTCGTAAACAATAGCAACGCCTCAAGAAGGCAGTGAGTAGGACTTCCCTTTTAATAGTCGTTCACGCGTTGCCATGTGAGAGCATTTCGAGAGGGAGAGTGAACTCTCCCCACCCTCAACAGTGCCAAAGCATTTGAGGGCTCAGTGGTTTAGAGATTAAGCGTTCGCGTGTGGTGTCGGATGTCCTGGATTCGAATCTTATGTGTGGGGTTGTGGATGCTCATTGCTGAAGAGTCCCATACTAGGTCGATTTGGCTACCCAGTGCTTGAAGGTTCTCAATGGTGGTCTATCGTAATTCGGTTTATGATCTCAATTAATTGTTATTTTATTCTTCTTAAAATTATCTATTCACTCATCTGTCATTTTGACTAATCGGATTTTTACAATGTATGTAAATTCCTCAAAACTTCTGAGATTATTACATTACCCATCGTATTGATTTCCGGATTCTAGGTAATCAACTGCCCCAATCCCGTTTGAGTTGACCTTACAAATTCCTATATATATATATATATATATATATATATATATATATATATATATATATATATATATATATATATATATATATATATATCAACTGTCGCCATAATATTTTCTTGTATACAGTTTTACAAAAATGGGAATTAACTCTATGAAATTATTATTTATAAGTTGGTATTACTTCCAATTCTAGTCTTTGAAAAAGTACTGAATAAACGATGTTGTAGTGGGAATAATGTAGAGTAAATCTACTTTTTATAAATGAAATGAAGTACGATTTTGTTACCTGAGTTTCATAAACAATATGACTGACTGATTACTTTGTACCGCTTCTAATCATTTTTTACAAAAAGTTTGTTTTTGTCAATTCCATATACTTTACTATTATATTTATGCCGAGATAGTTTTTATGGGGACAATCAACAACAGTTATGTCATTTCATTCTTTTCCTTTGAAATTTTCATCTTATCATTCACAGGCTACCCACCGTTTTGTTCAGCTACACCACAAGAAACGTATAAAAAAATTATGAGTTGGAAAGAGGCATTATTTTTTCCACCTGAAATGCCCATTAGTAATCATTCAAGAAACTTGATACAATCTTTATGTTGTGGGGCAGAAACACGTTTATCAAGTATTGAAGATATACGAAAACAACCATTTTTCATGCAGTTGACTGGGAGCATATACGTGAACGACCTGCAGCGATTCCAGTGAATATACGTTCAATCGATGATACTAGTAATTTCGATGAATTCCCCAATGCTGATTTAAGTTGGCGTAAGTTGCATGTGTATTTTTTCTTGTTGTTTTGTTAAATCCTAACACACCTATATAAAGAGCCATTTCAAAGTACTCATTGATAACAAAGCGATCGGATTGCCTAAATCTCAGATACAGTTATTTCTGTATAATTTTCCTACTATCAGTATTACACCTAATAATCCAGAAATAGTCCAGAAATATTAAATGTTTTCATCTGTATTCAATGATCAGAAGATACTAGCGGTATTCATCAACTTTTTTTGAACAGATATTTTACGAAATTTAGTAATCATGATAGTTCAGTGGTAGTGTATGACTATTTCATCCTCCCTTACTCTTTTGTTTTATATTATGGTAAATTCCCTGATTGTTTTAACTACTAAATAAAGAGTTGGCAATATTATGATTTATGGACAACTCATTGAGCAATGTTGATGTGATCTTGAGAAACTCCAACCACTTAATAGAGTCAAAATAGGTTTATGGTCTCTCGTTAAATGATTTTATATGCGTATAGTTTAATGTAAGCTATAGAACACTAAAAATCTATGCGCATAACATAAAGAAAACAATTAAAATTATGGCTGTACGGATTTAATGCATCACGTGGCTCAAATTTTTTATCTTTTCTGCCCACAAAAACCACATGATCAGCTGCAGCTTGTGTATATGTTTTTAATGTACTTGTAATGGTGTTGTTGTTCCTAAAACGTAATAAAAAGTGTACAAAATGCACTCTGAATAAAGAAACTGTCAATATGTGTTGTATTGTTTATTCTACTGTAACAAAACTTGCTTTTCTGTAAGTGTTTACACGCTATAGCAAACTAATTTTGTCATTCTGTACAAAATATTATGATCTAACGTTACATTTAAATGTATTTAACTTACAATAAAGATTAGTATCGAGTATTGTATAATTGGTTCAAATAGCTATCCTTCTATCAAATTAGACCAAAGTTTAAAATTATCAATCTTACACACAAAAATATATATTTCTTCCTCTTTCCTTAATGTTAGATGTTAATCCTGGCTGATTTATTTTCTATGCATTAGTTTATAATTTACCTTTGAGTGTGGTTTTTTTTAACAATCTCGATGTATCAATATGGGGTTGTGGAGTGTTAAGTTTTCGATTGAGATTATGAATCGATTGGTGTTAGACCACCATTGAAAACCTGGAAGCACTGGACGGCCGTCTCGTCTTAGTACGGGGCTCGTCAACAGTGCGCATCCACGATCTCGCAGTTTCGTGGGTTGGTTGAAGCTAGATACAAACATAATTGGATTACCGGCTTACCGATCTAGAGGTTAAGCATTCGCACTCGGAACCAAAAATCCTGGGTTCGAAGCCCTCAGGTGGGATTGTGGATGTACACTGCTAAGGAGTCTTATTTTTGGACGAAACGACCGTCCAGTGTTTCTTGGTTATCAGTGGTGGTCTAACATCAATGGACTCATGATCACAACTAGAAAATTTCGATGTATTCTGTTCGAATGAATGGTGTCCTTTTTTCTAAAATGTATATACATATAAAACTCTTCAAATAACGATGTATGACTCATCTAAATATCAAGTTTAATGTGAGAGTCTGCTTACTAAAAATATATATATACATATCTATTTTCTCAACATTATAAGTGAGAGACAGTTAACTGTTATACATATATAATATCGATTAGTTTCCTGTGATTGATGTTATAAAAATAGTGATTATCCTCTTTTGTTTGTATATTTAAGAGAAGTCAATTCCTAGTTAGTTTATTATTATTATTGTTATGCTTAGTTAGTCATCGAAATTTCTACATTTCTTTTACAATTAAAATTTTAAATGTGCTCAAAATATAGTTTCTATGATGGTGAATTTGAACTAACATTGTTCAATAGTCCTGTGGGTATTATACAATTTATTAGTTATTCCATACATAGGTAGGATAAATTGACAATCAATTAGGGTTATGTAGTGTCATGGATTGATTAAAGTTAGACATTAACATAGTCGAATGACGATTCAGTGGTTTAGAAGTTAAAGGTTTACACACGAGATTAAAGGTCCTAGGTTCGATTCACGCATGCGAGATCGTGGATACACATTGCTAAGGTGTCGCATACTAGGACGAGACGACTATCTAGTGCTTTCAGGTTTTCAATGATAATCTAGCTTAGATCGTCTCGTGATTTCAACTATGAAAATTCTACAATTTCCACAAATCTCCATACTATTAGTTAAAAATTAGTGAAATGTAAATTTGTGCAATATTTCTACAGGATTTATTCATTTGTACAAGTTTAGAGTTGATATTCTAATTCTACAACGAAAATATTTTCAGTATAGAAATGTGTACTTTTATGATTGTAGATTAGTTTTTCTCTTGATTTACTCCATTGTTTATCGTGTTTATTCTCAACGTTTTTAGTCTTGTTCGGCATCATTATTATTACCGCTATGTACATTTTACATCTTATTAACTTCATCTCATCGTATAGTCATTTGATTAGATTTAAACTTATTCCACTTACTAACTTAATATAAATAATTATGCAAATGCTTCTATCTTCTACTTCTAAAGTATATATTACTCGTGTTCATGAATACACTTTTTTGATTTAATTAGTCTAATTAATAATATCTAATAAGTTAATATCGTTATGAATTCATTATTGTGTTGGTTGTTTGAATCACTCCACTGATGTTTAGGACTGCATTTGATCAATCCCTTATTAGTGTATGTACATTCTGTGTGGATTGCCTCGATATTGCCTTAAGTCACAAGCATTGTAGGCAGAGATGGATGGTGGCTAGCAGTGGAATCCAGAAGGCACGTTTCGTCTTATTTGGGACTCGTCAGAAGGATGTACCTACACCACAGAGTTGATGTCCACTCTGGGACTCAAACCTAATATTTTTCGCTTCAAATGCTATCACGTTATCCACTTAGCTACTGAGTCCAGTCATCCACCAGCTTGTGCAATAGGGTGAAGTTTCAATTCATTTTTAGATTGATTGTTTAGGTTTTCTCATTGATGTTTAGGACTTCAATCAATCAGTCTCTTATTGGTATATGTGCATGCTGTACGAATTGCATCGACATTACCTTAATCCACAAGCATTACAAGCAGATCTCTGCTTATTATCATTATTATTACTATTATCATATTGAAGTATTTATTATTAATTAAAGTTAATAATCTTCATTCTACTTTTCTCTTTTAAACTCATTTATTTAGCTAATGTTACAGATCCTATGAAAAGCTATCAGAAAAATTTAGCTTTCATAAATTATACTTATAAGGCATTTGATGGTTGGACAAATAACGACCGAATATTAGATCGTCAATTATATCAACAACAAAAATTTCAACGTCATCAAACTGCCTTATCATCTAGAAGTAGTATACTGTCCGATTTAACTGGAATAAAGAATAAATCTTCAACATAATGAATTAATTCTTTATTGATTACACATTAAATTACCTATTTCCACCTCCGTTCCCCTCGTCACACATATATATTTATATATAACTAGTATTTCGTATCTTTACATCTTTGTACCTATCTCTCATATTTGTCACTGTTTTGTTTCTTTTCTTCTGGTTATTTTTTTGAGAGATCTTTTCTTATAAATAAAACTATCAATGTAGTTTTAAAAAGGTTTGGTTATTATGTATATCACTTAAAAAATTACCTTTTGTCTTTCCATGAACTCCTTACTATATAATCATCATTCTGTTGTATTGTGTTTCATAACATTGGCTCACTTGTATTTGTTTCTTTTGTTACTTCTTTTTCTGCTTCACTTATTCCCTCTGTTTACACGAATATTTGTATTTCTTTCTTTTATGGATTGAGTGTTTCTTTAAAATGGAGGAAATATTGTTCTTCAATATGTATAGTGTAATTGAACTGTTGAGATGAAAGCTCTTTACATTTTGCTGTTGATTATTGTTCCATTCAATTCTGTTTGTTATTCGCATGTATTCTGAATTGTCTTTTAGAGTACTAATGATTGTTAATTTGTAACCATTTCAGTGTATACCACATTCCCACGTTTCTCCTAAATTGCATTCCTTGGACAATAACATATAACGTTCCATATTTGTTCAAGTTATAGTTTTTTTATTCTGCCATATAAAATGTGCCTTGTTTCATCTTTTTCTTTCTTTTTTAGGTTGTTACTCTCACGTCACTGCTTTCTTTATATTCACTTCATTCTTGTAGATTTTCTCTGTTTCTATCTAATCTGTTTTGTTCTGCTCAATTCTAATCTGTTTCCTTTACTGTTCAGCTTTTTTGCTTTAATGAACTGCATTATCGTACTGTAATTTTAATTCAGACTTAGTTATTTCAAGACTAAGTTGACTAATGTCTGTTTATATGTTTATCTGATGTTCAGTCCATCTATTGTTTGTAATTACCTACTAGTTTACTATTTCTACAAAGAGATTATTATCATTCATTTAAACCAAAAAGTATATATTTTTGTCTACTAATATAATTAATAATAATACTTCTACAACTTTAACCATTGAAGTGAACAAACTAATTTATCTTTACACTTTTTGGTAGTTCCATTGTTTTCTTCGAGTTAATAATCACACCAGTCAAACAAGACGACTTTTTTTTCTCTTTCTCTCTAAACTTCTATTTCATTCTCTGCTCTTTTCAAGTTCTTTGTAGACCACTAATCACCACAACATTGGAAATCATTGATGTATACGTTTCAAATTATTTTTTACTATGTTGTTAATATGTTCTATAAATAATGCTGAGAAACAGAGATTTTCGTTTTATTTACACACAAAATCAGATTCGAAATCTAAGCGGATCAATGGTATTTTTATCGAAGTATACAACCGGTTTTAGTTGTGTTGATGATGATCTATTTATTGTAAAAGAATAAAAGCTTGAATGGTAAAACCATAGAAAAAAAATCATAGAAATCATTTTGACTACTATCTAATTGTCGGTTAATAATTATTCAACCAAATCTCTCAGAATAATGGATATATCTGTCCAATCGATATTCCAGTCATTCACACACAATAAGGATGATGATAACGTGGTCACTTTTTTGTTGATTATGACGAATCTTGGAACAAACTACTACGTTGTCTCGGATAGAGTTTCTTCTTATTCTTCTTTCTGCTTATTTTTGTTTATTCACAAAGAAGTGATATTGTTTTGTTCCTTTAATCTATCTTCTCTGTCAATTTACTTGGAATCTGTGTTATTATTGATTCTCGTTACTATTATTATCATTATTATTCCATCTTACTATAGACATTACTATTTATCATCATTTTTAGTGTTCTGTGTACAATAGATGATGAATAAAAGAATTGTAACTCTTGTAACAATGATGATATTTTTACATCCATTATTTTTCATATCAGGATGAAATTTAATAGAACATATTTTATTGTCATCTGTTTAGTGAATCTAAATCATTATATATTATGATCAAATGTACGAGCATGTTTTTCTCCGTACTCAGACCAATAATCGATAAAACGCTACTAGCAAAAATTACTACTGTCAATCAATTTCTTTTTCATTGGTATAAGAAATCAAAGCGAACGAAATTTATTGAAAAGAAAAGTGAACTTCTCACTGAGAAGAAATAATCGTGCATAAAATCATAATAAATTCTTCGGTTTCTCAGTAGTTTGCATCACAGAAGTCAAAGTTATATAGTGGAGTAGTGGCCTACTGGTTAATGGGTTCAAAGTTCAACCATTAGATTACAAGTTTCAGTCTCCCTCCATCCACTTTGGTCTAGACGACCGCGTGGTATCACTAGGATTGACTGAAAACAGAGTACGCTAGTCTATACTTCGTAGAAGAACTTCATCAATCATAAAAATCACAAACATTGTGTGCTATTTATTTTAAATTGTTAGCTCCACATATTCCTTATGTCGCTATGACTGAAAGAAAAATCAATCACCCATCATAGTGTATCGTTTTTCCCATGAGGACATTGTTATTATATTGTTGATTAATAATTTATTATAAAATTCCTCAGAGTAATGAGTTTTTACAGAAACAAAAACTGCAATGTGCAATAGCTGATTTTTGTCTTAACTCAAGTCTACACTACCGTGTATTAGCGATAACTTCATTTCACAAGACAATCGATAGTTTTTGAGAGGTATGAGTTAACACATGTTTTATCAAGTTAAAACTTGACCTGTCATGTGGATCTCCGTCTGATTAGGCTAATAACTCGGGTGAGAAAATGCGTATCTCTATTCATTTTAGAATAAGTGTTTGCTTGCGAGACTGAAGGTCCGAATCACGCGTGCATGATCATGGATGCGCACTGCTGAGAAGTCCCATACTAGGACGAAACGGCTGTACAATGCTTTCGGGTTTTCAATGGTTATTTAGCTTATATTGGCTCATAAATCCAACTGCTAAAATTTCATGAAACTTAATTAATGTTAATAATAAAGAACAATTCTTCCAAATGTTTACAAAGATTTAAACAAAATATGTACTTCAACAACATATTCTACTTATTTACTTTTAATATCAGCTGTATACTAGAGGGTTAGGACAGACAAAACAATGCAAGTGATAATGACAAGTCATATCTTTTCATCGTATCATGTAAAATCTTAGAATATGAATAAATCAACTGACCGATTCATTATTATCTCTAGTCTGAACTGGTCGTCACCGTTTTGTGCTTATAGTTTCTCAACAAAATAAATTGTGAGAATCATTGTGTTTTTATGTTTTGTAATTTAACATCGATGTTATACACCGACTTGTTTTTCATAAACTTATTCACAATGCAACTCATTAGTATCTCAGTTATACAGTTTGGTTTTCGATTTATCAAATATCTTACACATAAAGTAATATTTTCATTTATTGATTTCATTTAAAAAGAATTCCGAAATGATAGTTCAGTTAGACAAGTGTCAATGTGAATATGCTTTTAATAGTAAATTTGTGCCTGTTATAGATACCTCCCTTAATCTCAGATCAATTAAGACTAGTAGATTAGAATTAGAACGTAAAGAGCCATAGTATAATCAAAACCACATTACGTAATAAGCTATTTTTGTTATTCATTGGATACAGAACAGTAAATGCATATCTGTACACTGAAAAGTTTGCCATGATAAAGTTCGAAAATAACGTTATGTATAAATAGATCTTTAATTCATAAATATGGGATTATTTTGAATACATAAGAAAATCATGTAAACTCTAAGTTTGGTCAATTCAAGATGGAGTTTCCAAAGAAAACTTTGTGAACATTGTAAAGCCTCTTAGTTTACATGGTTACGAAACAGATAGTAGTTTTTACATTCCAACTTGAAATTTAAATCTATAAATTTACCAATGTTCAGTTTTAGTCAAATGCTTTTCAACAATAACATTTAACGTGTGTAGATGTTTCTGAATGTGTTTATTTTAAACTTACATTTGTTTCACCAGTTAAAATATGAATGATGAAGTTCAGTAGATTTAACACATCAGATCTATTACGAAATTAGTTAAGTATGTTAATATACACACATACGAACGCACAAGTATGTATTACCTACATAACTGCAATGAAACTTGGATTGTTGTGTTTTTCTTGCTGAAAAAAAGAAACAATTCATAAGAAAAGTTACAACGAACCTGTCAGTTGGGTCAACAGTAAAAAGTACGACTTCCTGTAGAGTAGTTGTAATGTTTCTTTTTTCAAAATGCACATTTGACATTGGAATAAGTTTATCTTTAATTAATTCACGATATTGCCCAACTGTGTTCAAAGGTCATTGGTGCAAAACTGTCTAACATTGGACGCGGTTTGACTTCACTGGTCACCAAATCTCACTAGAACATCGGGAATCACCTCATGAAAAGACTTCTCTGAATCTTTGTTCCATAGTTGTAGTAGTTATACTTAGAATTCCCTATGAAATGCTACTGACTTCTCCTGTAGCCCTAGGGTTACTGTCGGTCCCAAGCCCACACAAAAGATGAGGTTTGGGCAAGTAGTCGACAACTTCATCCCGTAGATAATAACCTTGCTAAAAAACACTAACCAGAATAAACAATTTAAATCACTTAAAATCTGCCCTCCAAATACGAGGAAGAATTATGACGCTTCATGGTGAAAGCCGCGAAACGACCTGACCGTCGTGATGGGAGATCTAAACGTCAGAGTCGGAATACACAACACCGGATATGAAGATATCATGGGACGACATGGACTGGGAGAGAGAAACGAAAATGGGGTGAGACTTGCAAATCTACGTGCATTCAACAAATTGGTTATGGGCGGCACAATATTCCCACACAAAGGCATACACAAAGATACATAAGTTTCACTGGATCACACCACACAGAACCAGATTGATCATATTTGCATCAGTAAAATGTTCAGAAGGACATTGGAAGACGTGAGATTCAGGAGAGGAGTTGACATAGCTT